GGGGGTGCAGGGAATGAAGGGGTTCCTGGATACTAGCGATCAATAGATGTCATTGGCCAGAAGATGGGAGTGGTTTCATAAGGTTTTTCATATTTTCAGTATCAAGGGTGTGATCACTGTGATTGTCTTTCTTCGTAATTTTGAGTATCATGATTGTGATGGTCATTTAGGGAGCATGATCCTATTGTCTGAGACTTGATGGCATACAAATGCAGCATGTCATGTGGCAGGTGATGGTGTGTAGATTGTGCATGGGGAACTGCGATGTCTACCGCAGTTTGTTCATCTGTTGTTGATGAACCATGGCCCATAGCATGATCCTCAGCTGCATTTCTTTTTTCCCTTTTTTTTGCATTTCTAAGGATCAACTGGCCTGCATTTGCATTATGGTCTTCGCTAAACATGGAGTGTCTCAGGGCTGGGGAATGGCATGATGTTGAAATAAGCATCAATTGGCGGGAGTGGTATTTGAACCTGATCCTGTATGATAACTAGGGAATTTGGGAATTGCATCCAGAGTATGTACAGGTGGAGATAGGTGTTATTCTCCATATATTGTTCATTGGATGGCAAGGTCGTGTCAGCTTTGGAGTTTGACAACGGGGCAGTACGTCGAGAGCAATTCTGGGGATAAATGGAAAATGATCAATGCAGTTGAAAGTGGAGACAGTGAGAGGGCACTGGGGGATGGGTATTTGAAGTATTTCAGAAGGTTTGGGATGGTGTGTGTGTGGTGCACAGAGTGGTGGATGAGGGGAGGACGTGAGGAGGGAAGGAGGAGAGGAGAGAAGGGCTTTGTAGTGAGTTTGTACAGAGGACATTTGCTGATGATTTGTCATGTTATGTATAAGGTGTAGTCACTGTAGTGAATACTTGTCAGATGTAAATCTGAATGGTATGGTGGTGACTGAGGTTATTTGGTATCCCTGACAGCTGCGCATTGCAGCCATCAGTTGGTTTCTTGTCAACAATCTTGAATATCCACTATTCCCGGCGAATCGGACTCGATGCAGATTGGTGGCGTGGCGCATTTGTCATGACTGATCAACACTGCACAGGGCAGTACGATGGACATTCCTTGCTTTCTTAACAAGTGACACAGTGTAGCATCGCTGCTGTATGCATTAGAGTGGTCGGTGGGGAGGTGAACGAATGAATGCACATGGCATGGCATCTTGGAGCATGGCACATTTGTCATGACTGATGAACACTGTGCAGGGCAGTACGATGGCCATTCCTTGCTTTCTTAACAAGTGACACAGTGTAGAATCGTTGCTGTATGTTTTAGAGCGGTTGGTGGGAAGGTGAAAGAATGCACATGGCATGGCATCTTGGAGATGGGAAGGTGATGGGTGGCATGTCGATTTTGGAACTCCACTAGTGACATAGGGGGAGGAAGATGTGTGTTGGGATGATGGAGACTTCAATCCATTTTGGAGTGTACAGAGGATGCAGCAGCCATTCATGTCAGTGTCGCTTTGACGAGGAGACACGTCTTACGTCTTTTACGTGCATGCAGTGCCAGCATCTGTGTCTTGGTGGCATTTGTCAAAGTTCTCTCATGGAGTCATGGGATGATCCACGTCGGGGTACTTCTGAAGAAGTAATCGGTACAATTTGCTTGTACAGTCAGTCCAATGTGATATACCGTCTTCAAAAAGAGGGGATGTAAAAGCATGCATCCAAATATCTTGAGGAATATCGACGAGGTGAAATTCTTCACTGGACAAGTGGAGTTCCCTCGATTCTAATACTTGTCAGAGCATGGTGACCTCACTTTAAAGGGCGTAATAACAGCTGCTGTTCATCATATTCATGGAGAACAAGACCATTCACAACTGCTATCTGGGTCTCCTATGGGAAGCAGCAGTTATCCCAGCCTGAAAGGAGTTGCAATTTCTCTCTCATCTTTATATTGGTGTGTCTGATGTTCTAGGTAAGGAGGGAAAACAGGAAGAATATGCTGCAACCCATTTGCAGACAGCATGTGTTGTCCCTCTTGCACTTTCTCTGTGTCATGTCTCCCTACCTAGTTAGTTGGCTAGGTAGGAGAATAACAACAAAAGCAGTCAGCTGAAGCAGCACTTTTAGTTCAGTATCTTGTAGAAGGGTTGCGTCTTCAGTGTGGGCAGGGGAATGAGTGTTAGGAGGGACTTAGAGACCATGGTGTGAAACAGATGCTTGCTTGCCAGCCAGCCAAACTATTGTCCCTTACTCGTCATTTAAGTCGGCAGGAGATTGTGGGATATGAACGCAAGTGTGCAAGGAACTGCACCCAAGACTTTGTTTCATGAACTAATCTTTTTGTTTATTGATCTGTTTTTCTTTTATGGGGAAAGGGGCCTGTGGGAGGGGGGATGGGTGAGCTATGCAGTAATGTGTGATGGTGACTGTGTAGAAGACGTCAAGCATCTCTGCATCACCGTTGTGTCTGCTTTGTCCTCCATTTCTTTCAAGTCTGGACGGGATCTGTATGTCTGCGTTGTCCTTTTGGTGTCTGTGCTTAGTTTCTGGCTCGGCCTGTTTGGGCTGTGCCGTGTGTGGATAGCGTCTGCTTCCATAACAACATGAGGAGGACACTTTCTGGACCTGCTATGGATGACGAAGTATTAGGTTTGATCCTTGTCATCGTCTCGAAGTTCTGGTCGAAGACTGTACTAGCTGTGGACATCTCACGACTCCCCATCAGTCGTTAGCTGGTCAACTGCAAAGGGGATCGGTACTACAGGTATAAGCTGATGATGATGGTGATGATGATGATGATGGTGATGATGATGATGATGGTGATGATGATGATCATGATGATGATGATGTGATTGTCGTTTGTCTTCAATGGGCGGCAAGCACTCTGCCAAAGTCAAAAAGATACGCCTATTATGATGTCGTTGTTCCTTACAAAGGGGGGACACATTGCAAGTCTACTGATTCCATCATATCCTTATGGGTATAGCAGGATTTGAACCTGCGAGATTAAGGAGACTGAAGTCAGTAGGATGCATTTCGAGTCTTCACGAGCCGGGGATACATTGCAAGTCTACAAGTATGTCTACCAATTCCATCATATCCGTATGGGTATAGCAGGATTTGAACCTCAGTTGGATGTGTTGCGAGTGTTAGGGGAATGCTACAGCGACTCATTTTCAATAGCCAATGGCCTGTGATCCAAGTGGTCTGCAGCACGTGGTTGAACTGATTATGATTCATCGGGAAATGTGGTGTCGTCAGGCGGTTGAACCTTCTGGGAAAGAGGATGTTTGAGTTCTGTGCAGTAGTCCTCAAGCGAACAATTCACTGGAAACACTATTTTGTAGCACTTAGATCTGCTGGTTTCCGATATGCAGTTCTCTCTGCACGACTGATGGTATTGGCAGATTGTATGTTCACTTGTTTCGACCTTATTCAACCTGTGGCAGCAATGTCGTGAAAAGAGATGTCGACTGCTCATGGATGATTGCTCATTTAGGTTCATCTTCCCCCCCCCCCTCCTCCTCTCTCTCTCTCCTGTCTCTTATACACATCTAGATGTGTATAAGAGACAGGCTCTGGAGAGAGGCTACTGTTCTTAAGGTAGGCCTTATCCATCCGGTTTGATGGCACTGTGTCATTGGAAAGCACGTACTACCTGTGGTCAGTTTTCCCAGTAGTGGTCTAGTGCCTTGTCCTCCTGTCTCCATTCGAAGTACTGCTGTGTGTCGGCATTGAAGAGTGACATATGGGTGCAGCAGCAAACATTCTGACATGCCGGCACTGCAGTGAACATCTGTGTGTTGGGTGTTTTTTTCTTCCAACACATCCTGAAGTGGGTGAGTGATGTTTTGTGGCAAAAATGCTGTCAGGAGGTTCCAGGCGTATCTTATTCTATTGTGTCAGTAATATCTGTAATACAATGTGCCCAACATAGGGATAGTAAAGTTTATCGGTCGTGGGGTGTCGTGGTCCTTTTTCCATCGCCCTCGTGGTCCTTTTTCCATCGCCCAATCGTTTAATCGTGTAGCTGAGATTTGATCTCAAACACTACCTTTGGTTGACACCTCGTGCTGGGAATGGTGGACAGGTGGATCGTGAGACGCCATAGATGAAAAAAAGCCTGCAGATGGATTGTGAGCCGTGCGATGTGTGTCAGAATGTGTCAGGGATTGTGAGTGTTCAGGGGGAGTTTCACACGTCGAAAGTCATGTACAAATGAATGCGGTTGTGTTGCTGGGTTAGCGCACTTAAGAAACAGAAAAACGAAAAAAGAGAGAAATGGAAAGAAAGAAAATGAAACGGGGTTATGTTGCTGGGTTAGTGCACTTAAGAAACAGAAAAACGAATAAAGAGAGAAATGGAAAGAAAGAAAATGAAACGCGTGTGACACATTCTGACAAAATGGTGCGATGTGGTGGATGGACGGCCGAAAATTAAATCAATTGTGCGGCGGCCGAAACGAAATCGTGTGAATCTCCGAAACGAATTACGGCCCGCGAAATTTTGAAATGCAGACCTGTGAAAGGCATTCCACGATGCAGACCCCAAATTTGAATCTTAGGGTCAAAGTCCCCAGGCTAAAAGAGGCCAGGTCAGCCTGTTTCAGAAAGGTTACGTCGGGTACCACAGAGGTCTTAAGTCCAAGAGGTACCCGATCAAAAGTCACATCCCATAGATGGTCACGTCTCGGAGTCAAAGGTTGTGTCCCACAGGCACGAGCCACATCTGAGTCACATCTGGCAGTCAAAAGTCATATTCCACAGGCAAGGGTCACGACCAACAGGCAAAGGTCACGTCCCACAGACCCAAAGCAGCAGCACACCAAGGAAAACCCAGGAAGGTATCGGGCCTCAACATTCTGAAGCAAACACGCTGCCGGCAGCCGGTTCCGGGTCCAAGTCAAGCGAAGAGCAGCATAGGCTGGGACGAGTCGAGGCTCAGTCCAAGTCAATATAACGATTGGCCAGCCACATGTCGGACGGATTGCTAATTCGCAAGAAGTGTGAAAGTGTTGTTGAGGAGCTTATGTGCTATCTGCAAGTAGCATGCACTGGAGCCCTGGCTGGGCAGCGCTGGGCTGAGGAAGAAAGGCGGCCATAGCGACACAGCTAGTAGTAGGAGGTAGATCTGAGTAGCAGTGGATGTATCCAAAGTCGAGAAGAGACATGGGGACAGAGAGAGAGTCACCTACCTTGGATGAGGATGCTGGTTATGGGTTTCTACTCTGCGCTGAGGAGCACTGGTGACTGGAACTTTGAAACTGTTTAATATGATAATTTGTTGGAATTTCTAAGCTGCGTTAATCTGGACTTCGCGGCTTTGGTCTCCAGTGTGGATTTCGTGTGAACTCTCTCAATGTGTGTGTGTGCTCAAGGTGATGAGAAGTGTGGCTTAGTGCAATTGGTATCGGAGTTGGTGCTTGCTGCATCCGTTGTTGGTGGTTGGTGATCACTGGCAAGATACAAGGCTGGCGAGATGAGACTTTGAGTTTGATCGAGGGATTGTGGGCCGAAGAAGAACTGGTCGGCGTGGGGATGTTGACTACACACCTGGATGCATGGAGTGATCGAGGAACTTCATCGAAGGAGCATTCACAAATGAAGTGCATCGCCCCCATAAGCCTTGCATTTGCTTTTATGGATGAATGAGTATCACGTGCACCTTTCCACATCTTGGTGTCGCTGCTGCTGGACAAAACAATTGGTGACATATTTGATTTCATCTCGATGCAGCATCTGGTTAGACATGTGCATGAAGTAGGTTGTGTCTAGGATAGAAGCTTGGCAGCTGGATGACTCATCCGAAAGTAGGAAGCATGGATATATGAGTGGTGAGCGCTCGTAAAACAATTCGTGTAGCCCTAAGAGCGGTACTGACCGGCATGCAACCTACCCAGAGGTGACACAGTGAGGAGCTATAAGTCTTGAGAGCGACTTTTCATATTTTGGTGGACACGACGTCATGTCTGCTTCGTTAAGAATTCCTGAGGTCCTTGCTGGTTGACCTTAAAACTGTTGGTTGCCCACCGGCCTGATAGGGTGGTCGTAGTGGCATTGTTGGGGGGGGAAGAACTCAGGCGGGTCAGAATCCAATGTAGACTGGATAGATCAAGTGTTGAGGGTGAGGTTTACGTGGTGACGAGATGGAGGCTGTCTACCTGTGTCTTTAGGAACCATGGATGACTACTCGATGTTCGCATTCTTGACCCTATCGATGCTATTGGGTCCCCTTCTCCGATTCCTGTTTCCTTTGGGATTCCACCGGGCGTGTGGCATAGGAGTAGCCATGACGTCAGGTGGGATCACGCAGCTATACATAATAGAACAGCAAGCAGAAATTAATAGAAAATTGGCTGAGAAGAAAAAAGAGGAGAAAAAGAGTAATAAAGAGGAGGGTATGTTAAAAAATTATGGAGCAGGATAGGAAGAAGATGGAGGAGGAGAAAGAGAAGATGGAGAGGGATATGAAGAAGCAAGAAGAAATGAAAAGAGAGTTGGAGGAGGAAGAGGACGAAGAAAGAAGATGAAGGTTAAACCACCAGTTCACACGAAGCTAAATTGACGAACCAAAAGTTGCACGGTTTTTAGCTTGACAGTTACACTAACAGGCTGAAAAGAAAAATATTGGGGTATTGGTACTAGCCTACCTTGAAACTCAAGTATTGTACCTGGTGCCAGCAGATGGTACCAAAAAGACTGCCAAAACAAAAAAAAAAAATTATCCACATCAATGATGAACAAAGGTCGTTGCCCTTTCATGAATGAATGTTGGGGAAGCCATTTGACCTAGGGCATACTCACAATCGTACTGTCCAAAATGTATTTGACCATTATCATGGGGAAATCATTGTTTTTCTTGTGCCCTGCAGGCAGGGCATTTTCCACCGCAAGAAAGGCCCTTGCAGAGGGCATACTCACTCTAGTATTGTACAGGCTGTATTTGACCGCTATCATGGTCATATCTTTCTTTCTTTTCTTTTTTTTTTCCCTATTTATATTTTTGCGAATATCCTCACTCAGGGCATACTCACACTAATATTTTCCAGAATGTATCGGATGGATAATCCATCCAAATGTGTCTTTGTTTTCTTTTTTCTTTTTTGGTTTTATTTCTTTTTAAGATTGGCGTCTTGCCAGCAAAAGGCAGAACGTTTGCCCAGACTGCCCATTTTTTCTTATTTGTTTTGTTTTTTTCCGATCTCACTTTCAATCCATTATTTTTCGGCCCACCAGCCTTTTCCCTCCGAACCTGTGCCGTGTTGGATTATTGCTCATCTTGCCACAGTCACAGTACCCTGTGTTTTGGTGAATAGTAGGGGTCCTTGAACTGGTGGCTTAAGGTCCCTTGCCTAGGAGGAAGAGGGAAATGGTATTTTTCATTTAGCGGCAGCGATGGACAAAAACTTGTACGACAGTTCATTTCGTATTGGGACCGCATACTTATGGCAAGTTCTTACGTAGAGGGAAATGCAGCTAGTTTCACCATTTTGCTAGGAAAAGAGGTTGGATGCATCTTGACGGTGCAGTACTCTGAGCGGACTAGGAGTGAGGATTTCTTTAAGGCATTGAAAGATTGCTTTGAGGATAAGAACGTAGCTCGTCATACCGAGCACCTTATCCTTAACATTAGTGACCGCAAGTGGAAGAGTGCATCAAGACTCAAGGCCACTATGGATAAGTTGTTGCCATGTCCCGATCATGGACTAACCCCCGCTCAGATACTCTGTAACTTCGCTAGAGCGCTGCCAGAGCCCCTCAGGACCTAGTTAAATCCCCGTACTAAGGAAGAGGGGATGACTTGTGAAAAGTTCAGCAAATAGCTATAGACCATGTCAGGGGTTTCTCGAAGAGGCAACCTATTGCCACTAATGGCAGGACTTGCAGGCCGGTAAGAGGTGGGAGAACAAAACTATATCCGGCTGTATAGAAGTTAAGGATAATTTGTTGGTCACCTTCGAAGAAAGAGGTGCAAACTTATTACAATATGACCAAATAGATTATGGTTTAGAGGAAGAAAACAACATCCAGTAGCCTGGGGAGGGGAGTATGCGGCAGTTGCCACCCGTGGCGGAGGGCGACAAGGTAGAGGCCGAGATAGAGGAGACCGAAGACGAGGTGGAGGTAGAGGATCCGCTGCCCAGAGGGGTGGTGGCGAAGGAAGCTACTACGTGGTAGGTAGGGGTTATGCTCCCTCGCAAGGTGGTACAGATTCTCCTTTCATAGGGGTTAGAGGTAGAGGCAGAAATTGGCGGCCGTACCCAGCGCACTCGTGGGTAGTTGAAGGTAAACCTTGGGAACGTATGGGTATAGATGAGAAGGTCTGGGAAGAATGTCGCAAGGCCAACCAATGTTTTAAGTGCAGTGATCCCGATCACATAGTTCCTTTCTGTCTCGAGTACAAATACCCAAAAGGGAACAGTCAATAGAGGTTGCAGTTGCCTCTACGGAGAATTTGGACTAAGACAGGAAGGTAGAAGCGTGCGTTGAACAGGCCCTCCTGCGGAAGGTCCCAATGGCAGAGATTGATTTAGGCCCCCACCTACCTCGTTGTCCAGAGGTTGCTTGTGTGAGGACCTCCCTAAGTGGCTCCCTCGCAAGCATTGGTGATGAGTTGATCACTCGTCATCGCGCTTGGGCCGAAATGAAGAAGTTGAAGGGGCAACTAATCATAGCAGGCGTAGAAGTAAGTAGAGAAAGGATAGGCGCATTCGTAGATAGTGGGTCAACATGCAGTTATATAAATCGAAGAGGGTTACAACTTACAAAAGATGCACTTTTTTTTTTTTTTTTAAMAAAAACAAAAAAACAAATGTTCCAATCTATTCGTGGGGAGCAGCACGTGCTGGGAACCGGGCCAGCGTCCCATATCGAATTGTACAGATCATTGAAAACATTTGAGAACATTTGAGATCATTTGAAGGTGAAGAAGCTAGAGGAGTTTATCATTAATAAATTGGCCGATAATAGAGATGATAGTGTGTGAATATGTTGAAGGGGTCAAGGCATACTTTCGGTAGGAGGCAGCGGAAGATGGAGAAAGTTTTGCACTCCCTGACAAAGTGGAGGGCAACCTTCATTTTGACATGATATTAGGAATTGACTGGGGCAACGTCGCGTATGCTGACATTAAGATAGCGAGCACTGGAAAATATCGCTCACTGGAACGACAAGCGGACATCGCTGATGGGTAGGGCTTTGGCCATCAATAACTCCATTCTAGCTTCATTGTGATACAAGTCTGCAATATGGGCCCTTAGCAAGGAGACGGTCAAAGCGTTGAAGAGACGGGTTACGGCGCTGCTCTGGGGAGGGGACGGTAATCTTCCAAATGTCATCAATAGAGTTGCTTGGCCAGTGGTGATTCAACCCAAAGACAAGGGCGGTCTAGGAGTTCTAGACCTTGCTATCCAAGTCACAGCGATAACTGTACAGTGGATTAAACGGTTGTTATTCAGCCCCCATCTCCCATGGGTAGCCCTGGTCTTTGAACAAATTGCACGATTAGCCCCCCAGGCCCCCTGTGAGGTTGACTCGCTGACCTGTCTCGAGGACCATTTCTGGTTCATACCTCGGTCCTCCAAACACCAGAGGTATACAGAACGGGGGGCTACCAAACGTGACCTAGCTAGGGATGACTTCTGGATTAGGTCACTCTGCGCGTGGCGTCAGCTCCCCATCCCAGATAAGAGTCGGTCGTCCAGATGGGAAGAGGTGATGAGACAACCCCTCTTTGGGAATCTGTATATCACAGACCTGCAAGGGAGAGTATTCCGCAGTCCGGACCCCCCGTGGTGTGGCTGGGTCAAAAAGGGGGTAGTAAGAATTCGAGACATATAGGACGTACAAGGAAAAAACTGGAAAACAGAACAACAACTGAAACCTAAACTGAAATATTGCCACCACGTGGGTAACAACCTAGAGGAATTGGTTTTCTCTATGCCTCTGGACTGGGTGCGCACCCTGCGTAAAGGACCGCACCTGCAGGAAGGAGACTGGGTGGCAGTCCCAGACGACACAGAAAGTGTGGGGAATATTGTGGAGGTAAACACACAGGAAGAACTGGTGGACCTTTTTCACCGGGAGGATAGTAACAGGCTCACATGGTACTACCCTGATGTGGTGAGATGGTGGAAAAAGAATTATTTACACCGCATTCGGGTGATCCACACACGAGAGGATTGCTTCGCATTCCTCCTCGATATCCCGGTGACTGAACTCCCCTTCGACCCGGAAGAGTGGCAATGGAACCCGTCAAAAAGTATGAGGAGCAAAGAAAATAAGACGTTTTTCTCTCTATCAGTAAAATCGACTTATCGCCTTCTGAGACCGAGGATTAACGTGAAGGAAATTGTGCGGGGGCGCTGGATAACCCAATTGAATGTGGGGAACGATGTCATGCGTCCCATTAGATGGCTCAAGGCAGTGAGATCTAAGCCTGCAAAACTGGCTGCACTGCAGTGGCAGATAGAACACCGCTGCCTCCCCACCAATACCTGGCTAATAGACCGTACGAATCTAGAACAGAAAGGTTTAGCTTTTCCATGGTGCCAGTCTTGTTTTGCCTCCTTTCCTCACAATAAGATCTTGGAGACTATAGAGCACATATTTCTCCAGTGCCCGGCCGCGCTCCTTACATGGCGCTGGTGGGACAGGATCTGGCAACAGCTGGGCACTGGCTCCACATGGCCGTGGGACTGGAGAGCCCTACTATGTGAAGTCTGGTCCTCCCTCACAAACTCCCCTTTTGAAGATAATATGTTTAAAACGGGGAGGAGAGCCGTTATTTGGGCCCTCTGGCGGAAAAGGTGTATACATGCAATTGAAGGTGTCAGAATAGAGGGGGAGGAAGTCACAGAAATGATCAGGCAATATATCCAAGATGAACTCAGGGCGCAGTGGCAACAAGTGAAAGCACAACTAAATCTGTTTCATATGAAAAAAGATAGAATATGGATCATTAAGCAATTCTCAGAGGAATGGTTGGGGAGTGATAGAGGGGGCAGGATAGCCTACATTTGATGGGAAGGAGGTCAGGCATCGGATTTGGGACAGGAGGAGCTCAAAAGAGACTATGTTATCTGCTTCAATGATTGGACTAAGGTAGACGCTGCAGTTCCTCTGAGACCTCCGGCGGACTTCTCTGACCTCCGACGCTCACATCCTCGCACCTGATGAAAACTAGCTTCGAACGTCCTGCGAGGATGTAGTTCATCAACGATCGCCCACATAGGTCTGTGGTGCCATCGGTGATGAACGTGCACCCTGTCACGTCCCAGTCATCTCGGATCGCTTGCTCCTCCTTCTCCAACTTGTTGCACAACCGATCGAGCAGCCGACACCTCAATGAATTGTAGCCAGTGGGCACAAGAGGTTTGCTCGCTGCAGGCTGTGGACCGTAACATGTTAATTGGAACTTCTTGAAATTCCTGCTCTTCATGATGCTGAAGAGGATGGCATTCTCGACGAAAAACTCGCAGGCTGAGTCATCAATCTCCTCCTGCCGCGGGTTCTTCGTGTACCTCACGATTGATGTTTGTTTCGCCGGTCCACAAACTCGGGCCTCGTGCCGCAATGGACATGAACAGCCTGCTCCCATGGCCTGCTGCATCGCAGGCCGCGACCCGCCTGATCCGCCAATGGCCACCGACCTTGGTCCACTGTCGGGCTGCCCACGAACTCCCTCGTTAGAGTGTCCTCCAATCTCGGCACCTCCTCTGCCAACCTTTGCAATGTCCTGCACATCCGCATCATGATCAGATTCGTTGTTCTCCTCCTCCAGCGCACACTGCACCCTCTCCAGCAGGTCCGAAGGCAACTCCCAACCAGCTCCGTGCAATCTCCTCCAAATGGTCATAGTGTCGTGCGAACATTTGGAGGATTCCCTCTTGAAAGTGAAGTGTTCACACGCCCGTTTCCATGTGTCGCTCCACTCGCGCTGGCACAACCGGCAGCATAGCCTTCTTTGTCCGTGGCAGCTGCTGCGGCTGATGAGGTGGCAGCCACTGCGACTGCTCACATGGCAGCTGCTGCGGCTCCTGATGCACAGACCTACTGACGTGGCAGCTGCGGCGGCACAGACCTGCTGACGTGGCAGCTGCTGCGGCTGCTGACATGGCAGCTGCTGCGACTGCTGATGTGGAAGCTGTTGCGGCTGATGACGTGGCAACACCTGCTGCTGGTGACCTGGCTGCCGTCCTCCTGCCGCTCCTTCCGCCGTGCCTGCTGACGTCCAGCTGCCGAAGATTCTGCACGTCTCTCTCTCTCTCTCTCTCTCTCTCTCTCTCTCTCTCTCTCTCTCTCTCTCTCTCTCTCTCTCTCTCTCT